CGAGAACCTGTGACAAGTGTTGACAAGGGAAATTGATTGTTCGAAGGATGCTCAATAGATTGATGCTGTGAACGAGACGTTTAGGTGACCGATTGTAGTCGATGGACGAATGATTGTTGAGATACGTGTGAGCAGTTAATAACTCCAGCCATTAAGCTACGGGCATATATTTTGTCCAAACGGACGGAGAGCGCCAGGCCGACACGGGGCATCCTGACAAATATTCCGTGTCAAGTCAAGGTGGCAAACCGTGTCCGTTACAGTACCGTACCCTGCCCGGTATCCGCCCGATAGGCAGTTTTTCTTAGATAACTTTTCTGAAAATGAATTATACAGGCGCTAATGTATATCAATTTGTAGCCGAAATTCTAGCGAATCCAACCATGCCATTCTTATGCCTGAAATCGTAAGCAATTGTCCGTAGTGCGCCGTCTGCGTGAGGCATTTTCCTTGCCTATTTCCGCCTAGACCTGCCCTAATTCGTCCCGATGGTGGACGCGCATCAAAAGTATAGAAAAGGGAGACATCTCGGGTAAACGTTAGGCCAAATAAAATTGCTTCCCAGTAGAATTTGATCTATGATATTTTGATAATTGATATTTCTTTCTTTATTTCTTCTTTTGCCTCTGTAGGCCTACTAATAATGTCTGTTCACTGTTATTCACCACTTTCTGATCTGGGAAAATTCTGTAACTGCCTTTCCGGGAAAATCCTGTGACTTGTCTTTAATGTTTTAATAATGGTAATCAGACAAATCTGACTAAAGTCACTTAACATATCGCCAATCATTTTTAAATTAACCACTAGGGTGAAAGAATTTAATTTAAAAAAAAACTATAACCACTATCAAAGTGAACATATTGTAAAAGAAAGTAATGGTGCTTCATTTTTATTTATTTTTAAATGCAAACTATTCTCGACATCTCTCAAATCTTGATTCAAAAATAAATTAGCGTATATTCTTAGGCATAATAATTGGTTGGAAAAAGCATCTAGCAATATTGTCATTAGAATTATCATCATCGCCGACATCGTCTAAATCATCATCATTACAATTTTAGGGTATATAGGTCTATAACGCAAATGTGGTTTCCTTTTTGATTATTTGTTTAAGACTTCAAGTTGTTGTGTTTTTTGTTTTCCACTTGTTCTAAATTATGCAGTATTATATTTTGATAATGCATTCAATAATAATTATAGCCAACTTGAAAGACAAAACTTTCCGAAATGATCTTAAAAACGAAGTTGTCGATTCACTTCCATAGAAAGTCAGTGTTTTTTGTTTGCAAAATAATGTAGTATAATAATTAATGCAAAAGGAGTGGTGGTAGGGGGGGGGGGGGGGGGTCACCAGTCACGTTTTTGCCACTTCAACATCCAAAGAGGGTTGAAAGCTATTGTATAAGTATTTTGTTGACATTACCGAGAACAACTCAAATCATGTCCTGCAATGTATTGCCCTTCTCTAAATTTGGCACTATACCCCCTCCCCCACATCTTCTACATAATTCATCTATTTATTTATTCATTCAATATTCATTCATTTTATTGCCGAGAGATATTAATGTGATGGATAGAGATAAAAAAATGTTCACCTTTTATTCGCCATAAAACTTTAGCAAACTAACAACGTATATAAGAATTACCCTAGCCATTTGAAAGGCTGACAGGCGTATAGGCCCTTGTGAAATGTATCATTTATAGTTTTATACTACTCTTTCGATAGCCATTCATATAGGTTTATTTCACATAAAACAACATTTATTTTATTCACAGTCAGCTGACGGAAATTTGATAGCAGCGAAAATGTCATGGTCCGTGTTGGCAAAAATATATAACACACAAACATTTGAAAAAAGATATTATAGCCTAATGTATAGAAGCACTAAGAAAAAGGATGTAAAAGTGAAGAGGGAGACTAAAAGAAAAATCGGGGAAAGGAGGGGTGTAATCGAAGAAAATTGAGGGAATAAATTAAACTAAATTAATTAAAACAAAAACTAATACATCAATCCTCTGCCTGCATCCTGTATCGTATCAGAAACAAGCACTCTTTTCGCTACAAAGCCACGACGCTGGATTGAAAGGCGACACAAGCTTCAGCGACATAGAACATAAATACAAACTTTTTGCAAATCTACCAAACCTGGCAACTTTTTTAAAAGCCGGACTTAGTTGTCATCGGGATCACTTTTGGAGAACCGAACTTCAAGCATTTTTTGCAACATTAATCAATCATATATAATTGTGTCACAAAATTTAACTGCATGATTATCACATTACCACATCGTTACCAGAAATTGTCGGTTGCTCGATCGAACGAACGGCCAAACATCATTGCAACATTCTTCGGGGGGGGGGGGGTTCAATCTCAGCCTCCCACCTTATTCGCCTACCATTACCCCCCGGAAAACTACCCCCAAAGATAATTACCCCTAAGGACAATTACCGTGCCTCGACGAGCTACCCCCGGAAAAGAGTCCCCCCCCCCCCCCACCCCCTGAAACTTAACCCCTACATAGGACAATGCCCCCTGGGACAACCAAGGACAACCGCCCCGAGGACTACCCCCTGTTCAGTATGAACAGGGGGAAGTCAACCTCGATAATTAGTTGGGTAATTTTTAGGGGGAGATCATTAATTTCAGGGGGTGGTAATTGTCCTCTGGGGGTTTAATTGTCCACGGGGGGGGGGGGGTAATAATTGTCCTAGAGGGTAATTTTTCGGGGGGAGTAACTTCCTCGGGGTGGTTGTCCTCGGGGGGGGGGGTAATCGTCCTTGGGTTAATTATTGTACCGCTAATTGGCCGGGGGTGACATGCCCAAGGGGTAATTGACCTAGAACCTTCAAAGGGCAATAAATAAACAGCTACTCAATTTACACTGAATCTTATTTTCTGGTTGTAAACTCAACAAAAAATGAATGGCCACCTCTAAATGATTATTTTGTAGACCATGCAAGTGAGCCTGCAAAATGTTAAGTTTAGTAGCACGGTTATGATTGCTCATCAAAAAGTGAAACAACATTCCGTCTGGCAGATTTTGACAACTGCATGGCTGTAATCCCAGTAAAGCGGTTATGATTGCTCATCAAAAAGTGAAACAACATTCCGTCTGGCAGATTTTGACAACTGCATGGCTGTAATCCCAGTAAAGAGTTTTATGCCTGGTGACCATGTTATCTCATTTATGATCTTTCTTTTATTTGCAAAATGTAGGTCAACATATACGGGGGGGGGGGGGGTGAATTCCCAATTTACAAACTGTTTATAGGTCGAATGTAGTTTTATAGTATTTGTGTATTCTTCACCTTCTTCATACTCTCGAGTTGCGATTTTATGGAGTAAACCGAGTGTTTTATCATGGAAAAAAGACAATGAAGTGTGCACTTTCAAAAAACCAACCGCAGACCTAAAAACACACAAATAGACTAAAAAACACGGGCAGATAACCTTTTCTCTGTTAGAGCATAAACAACGCACGGTACATACACTGAACTAGCGCGTGTGTTTGAGTGGGCGGAAATAGGGCAGGGGCATCACAGGGCGACATGGCCGAGTTCAAGCCTCGATAACTTTTTTATAAATAATAATTTTCGCAAGAAATTTGCTCAGGTAAAACATCAGGAATTTAAACTTCCATATCTCTTTAAACAAAAGTAAAATTTCCACCATATTTTTTTTCTGATCGTTTTGAATAGGAACTTGATGTTTTTTTAAAAAGGTTGATTCACACCTAAATAAGCGCATAGCTGACTGCTGCACAGTGACGTCATTCGCGTATCTCCGTTAAATGGGCGATCGACAGTGTACCATATTTCGTGCACATGTTCCTTACAACGTGTATGCTGCTATAGGCAAGTTAGTCGCACGCCTTCATTGCGCACCGTAGAAACTCGGGCGATGGAAGACGGCCGTTGTGTCTAATAAGCCACTGGTAACAGGGGGGCGGTAACTGGGCAGGGTACGGTACCGCTAGCAACTTCTTGATCGCACGCACTGCACTGTTTGCTCTCGCACGCAAATTGTTTATCCGAAAATTGCACGTGCATTTTGTTTTCAACTTTAGCGTGATCCAGGCACGGCCAGGCCCGGGGGCCAGGATCTAGGCTACCTGCAAACGTTATAATATCGGAGGTGCATTACCGGTGTATGTCTGCTCTTTGTGTTAAATAGACCCTAGATATAGATTGATAGATTATATATATATATATATATATATATATATATATATATATACATAATTTTACATTCGGGTTTTGATGTGGTCCCGTCATCTGGTGCAGCAAAGATTTTACCTTTCTATCTCGTTTCATAATTATGAAGACGATATTGTTTTCAATCCGCCCTTTAACATAAAGGGCGTTGCCCATACCCTCCCAAAGCCTAGCTGACAGGCATGGCACATGCGCCCATGTTTGTGTCAGTGGGAAGTTGTGTCAATTTTTTTATGACAAATTAATTGAGCAATATTTTTCCTGTCCTAATTTCCTGATTTCTACTGATATGTAAAAACATTGAACACTGGGAATTGTTCTAGCTACAATTTACAATTCCCTATAGCTGGGGGAATATATATATACCCATGCAGGGAGCCGACTTTCATTTTCTCCCTGATATACCTCTACCTAAGTTACTATAGTAATTAACATAAAAGATAATAAGTCAGTGCATGGTTCGAAGTGTACATTGGGCACGTTAGGGCCAGATTTTTGTGATTGAGATTCTTCATATTTGAAGGAAGATCAGCACAGATTATAGGAAATAAAAAATAACCCAACCTTTAATTCAAACTTGGAAGAGTTAAGATTATGAACAATTTATATTGCAGGCTCCTGCCTCTTCTTGACAACTCATTTCTCTCTCTCTCTCTCTCTCTATTCATTTTCAATTTTAATTTCAATTTCAATAAATCTAACCCAAGATTTTGTTCCTACCTATAACCCTATATCTAAAACAACAGACATTTACAACAAAAAAGAGACACCAAATACACATACGGTTTTCAGTAGTTCACATTATATTTATTCAGCTGAATGCAATACATCTTGGAGAAAAATACTTATTAAAAATAATATTCATCTCTTCAATGTTTTCTTACTAAAGACATTAGTAATATATGGTGAAACAAAAGATAATATTAATTCATCAAACTACCTATATGACATGCATGCTACAACAATAATCACACATTATTTCAGAAACATAAACTATATCACATAGATATCATATTATTTTCCTCGGCCCAATCAGTTACTGAAGAAATGTGGAAGAAAGAAATGATCTTATCTTTCCTTTAATAATCATGTAACCTTTCATGAATCTATCATCTGAAATTCATAATAAATACCCAAATAATAGACCAATGGGCATTTTAAGATGGATAATTAGATGCATATCACTCAGGACTTGGGGTAGGGGTTGGGGTTGGAGGGGGAAAGAGAGAGAGGGAGGGAGGGAGGGAGGGAGGGAAGGGGGGGGGGTAAATAGAGATAGAGAGGGAGACAGACAGAGAGATGGACAGAAACACATAGAAGAGAAAGATAGAAAGGCATAAGAAAATGAATAGAAAACTTTTTAATGAAAGCATTCAGGAAACCCATGTAAAATAAATTTCATGAAGAAAAAAAAAAAATCTAATTTTGATATGTTCATTCTTCATCTAAAGACATCATCAAAACAGTAATACTGAGACATAAACACAGTCATACACACACACACACTGTGTAGAAGTATACATCTGAATGACTTTCCTTGTTAATGAATACACATATTAATCTGCATTGTATTCTCCTCCATTATCATATATTTGTTCATATTCTATTTGCTACTGAATGTAGAGAGAGAAAATTAGCTGCTTTGTGTAAATTTGAATTGCATTTCTGACAAATCATTGGGAAATCATCTTGTAATATACAGCATACCGGTATTCAGCTGAGACACAGAAGTAAAAGCTGCATGTGATTGGCGAAAAAACTTAGGGAATATTCAAAAAAATAAGACGAGAATGGTCTCTATAGGCTTCCACAAAATAAACAGGTAATACAATAAGATCACATACATAACCATATATATATCTTCTCAAATTTCTTACTGATTGTTTTCTATTTTTCTGAGAACAGCCACAAACTACTCCTCAGGCATCTAATGCCTCACCGCTTGCAATCTTCAGCTATTATCCCCATGATAGGCTGCATAGCCCTGTGGAGATTACCAGACAAAGAAAAAGAATTTCACACACTTTCTCCATCAATATTGCAAACCTACTGCTGAGAGCCTAAATGACGGAAGGATTCAAAAGATAAATCCTCAACTTTTCTAAGTGTTCATCACACACAATGCCCACAAGACTGAAACATTTAGACTTCCTGACAAAAATATTTGATCTTATGGACATAAATAGTTGGTCTTGTACCTCAAAGTCTCAAAGACACACAAATTATAGTGAGTAGAATTCTTTGCTGGTCCTATATACATATATATATATATTGTTTCCAAATTGATGATAATAATTGTACCGATATGAAATCTGAACATATGAGATTACAGAGGCAGCAGAGATTTGAAGCAGAAATTGCAAATCAATTTCAATGCTATAAGGCTTATCAAACAGTTGCATAGGAATTATGCAAAAATTAGAAGTTGGCCTCTGAAAGAACATATAAGAACAGGAAACTACTCTACACATGTAACAATTCAAAAATCTACTTTATGAATGAAGAATTTGTTCTTTTTTTACACATACCATTTAAAAAGCCATAGCAAAGGGATTCTATAAGCCATACATTTTTAGTTTGCCTTTGCAATTTGTCTTAAAGATAATGCATATGTACATGGACAGAATAAAATAAAACATCATCTGGTAGTTTATGTACAAGAGGAGAATACATGTAAGTTTCCACAAATCATAAATTGACAATCAAAACTGTACTAAAGGACTTACAGCACACATTCAAAATGGTTTTATGAAGAATGTTAATACCACAGAGATAATAAAGCCAAACAAAAATCACCTACATGACAAAAACTATCAGCCTTCTACACACATTTCTAGAACACTACATTTACCTGAACTTCCTCTCAGTATATACATTTTTCATAAAACAAGATATTGCTTAACACTGAATCAACTGAATAAGAAATAAATAATTGTTAACACATTGCAGCTATCACAAGTTCTCAACAATATGAATATTGGACCATGATGAGAAGGTATGCAAAAAATACATGGGCATTTCCCTCCACAGAAAATGTAACATGTTTCGCAGGAAACATTTAATCCAATTGGTTTACAACAAACAGACATGACCCAAGTTTAGACTTGAGAGTATATGATTATAAGCTTCTGTAAATATCTTAACTAGATTCGTTGAGCCTCCAAGAGCACAGACGTGTTAAACTGTTAACATTTAGTAACATGTCCATGGGCATTTTGTGCTATATCTGTTACAAGTTACTAGGAAGCAGCGCTCACAAACATCTGGATCTATCGCAACTCGGCACGCTGGTTTGAATACAGACAATTCAGTTTTCTGGTGAGGTCGGTTCATGCAATGCTGGAAATGGATGCATGCACTGTTCTTAATATATCAAGTGTTAAATGCCAGAAATTATCACTCAATATAGACTTTGAGGTTTAATAACGGCACGTTGGTTTGAATACCGACTGTTCAGTTTTCTGGTGAGGTAGAGTCGATGCTGGAAGTGGATGTGCTGCTCTGGAGAACCATCGATTTCTTGGCCTTGATTTCACCACACATAGGAGGACCAGGGTTCTTGACTGGTTTTGCATAACCTTGGTAATAATAATAATGATAATACAGCATTAGTTATGCGCCATCGATCTAGTAAACTATTCTGAGGCGCAGAGGGATATAGAATTAGAATAAGTTACATAGAGAAATAAGAAGGAAAAAAAAGAAAGAAAAAAGACAACAACAACAAAAACAAGAAAGATGAGGAGAAATTCAATGATAAAAAACATCACTTTAGAATAATGTGGCCAGTGTTTGTCAGTGTTTACAAAGATAAGTGTATGCGCAGTGTCTGTCTAACATGCTTTTTGCCAGCAATTGCCGAAATAAGCAACCTGGGTGTTAAGAATCTGCGAACTCATTTAATGAACTCATTTAACTTCATATACCGTAGTTATGGTGAGATGTGGGTGGTATTGCAGGTAGAATATTTAAATGAAAGATTGAGATCTGATTTGTGTCTTAAATTTGATTTTGAAATATTCTGTTGTGAGGTAGGGGCAAATGATCTAACTCAACACTGAAATCCCTCCAACTATTAACACGCCATATTTTCAAACTGATGGGGCTGTTCACATAAGCTATTAAAGTACTCAGGCCATGAAACATTAAATTTAGGCTTTTCTTGAACATTTTCCCTGAATTTATTTACAAAAAGCACTCAGAAAACATTAAAAGAGGCAACTTTCTCCTTGACATGATTTCCTTTATATTTTACACTTCCAAATGAGCGTGTTGGAAAAAATGTTATGATACATTTTTTGTGCTACTAATTTACATTAATTCTTTACTAATTAACTAATACATTTGATATTATATTTATGGCATATTTTTTCCACAATTGCAAATATTCAGTGTTGAGATCAAGTTCACTCATTTTACAGAATGAAACTCTTGCGAATCTGGACCACTTGCAAAATTTGTGAAAGTTTCCCGGAGTGCGCAAAGGTTCTTTTCGGTTTTAAAATATAAATACCTTGGAGTTCTGGTATATCTTGGTATAGATCGAGTGAGTCAGGATTCGAGAATGCCCCCCTCTGGACAATCTTCTGACCGGCAATGATCCTCTTAACAGCAACCTCCACTTTCTTACCGCTGATGGTGTACTAGAACAGAAAATAGAAAAGAAATTCAACAATATCAGTATTGTTGTAAATAGTATATATCTGTAAAGCGCTTAGAGACATTTGTATTAAGCACTATATAAAAGCGGAATATTATTAATATCACCTACATGAGAAGTGCTGTAAAATACAAAAGCAAACAAGACAGGGAACATGGGGGGGATTCTTTCATATTAAGGCCTGCACAAAAAGCACGTTGAGAGTCAGCATCTCTGAACTAGTGCAAGCTTATACGAGTCTACTCCACTACGTAGTCTACACAAATCAATTTTACCTTCATCTGGAGTGTTTTTAACATGCAATATCTCTTTACAGAAATAAAATTTGAAGCTGATAAATTGAAAAAATGATATACCAGTATGGCATCCCAAACATATCAAGTTAATTGTTTCTGAGAGATTGGTCCCTTCTGACAGAACTACCATATTAAGAAGTATGTTGAACTCACTGGAATGTCTTTGGTCTCCAAGATAAGGGCAGGCACATGGCGGGCCGACAGTTCGGACCTGATCTCAACTTTGACCCGCTTGACCAGTTGCGGGTCAAAGGTCATTCCTGGTGCCATCTTAAGGAAGAGAATGACCCTCTCCTCATTGAGAGCATTCCTCTGAGGCACACACAGACTGTCCTGGATCTCCTTCAGATGTTCAACTGATGCAAAAGAAGAAGAAGTAGAAGAAGAAGAAAAAAAGAGAAATGAAGAAAAAAATAGGAGACAAAGAAAAAGTAGAAAGTAAAGAAGGAGTAGGAGGAGAAGGAGAAAAAGAAGAAAAAGAAGCAGGAGAAGAAGAAGAAGAAAAAGAAGCAGGAGAAGAAGAAGAAGAAGAAAAGGAAGGAGAAGAAGAAAAAGAGGAGGAGAAGAAGAAAAAGAGGAGAAGGAGGAGGAGAAGGAGGAGGAGGAGGAGAAGGAGAATGACAAAGAAGGAGGAGAAAGAATTGAAGATGATGAAAAAGAAGAACACAGTGAAACCACTATACAAAAACTTCTCATAGGAGACGAGATTGGTGGTCTCTACTGACAGCTGGTCTTCATGTACAGCTTACTTTTATAGACATTTTCTTGGAAGTTTATCTTCAAGGGGTACAATATATTCTGATCTTTACAGTCAGGTGGTCTTTCTATACAGGTAGTAGCTTAAGCTGCCATCTTTTGATGGGTAAAGAATGAAAACATCACCATGAGATAATACACTGTGCTATCCTACAGACAAACAAAAAACCTCTCGGAGCACACTATAGACCCCAGATTACTGAAGACCTTTAGTTTTAAGGAAGTGCAGTCAACACTGGCATATATTGTATATCATATGTTTTTGTGTCAATATGCAGGGAAATTAAATACAAATACACTTGTCAAATGTTTTTATTTGTAAGATTATCAACCGATCAAAGAGAAAACTGAAACTAAAAATGCTGTGCCTGTAACTTACCAATATTGTATATATCTGAACTTCCAAATCGAACACCATTGGGATTCAGAGTCCCGTCACTGTAAGTAAGGAAAAAATAAAATACAAATATAAATTTTTTAGTGCAAGAACCTAAGCAATCCCTAAACTCTAAATTCTACTTTCACTTATCCATGCTCACACTTGATCCAGTACATTGCATTTCCAGATTTGCATTTATGATTAAAAACAAACATTTCAAAGTGATGTCTCAGTCTTACCTCCTTCCCTGCATGTAGATGCCTTTTGTCTTAGGGTTGATCGTACAGAAATCACCATGGGCCCACACGCCTAAAATATACAGGAGAAAACAAGAGTTATAAGAGAATTATGGCTATATTCCAGACAATCTAATTTTTGTATGAACTGTGCCACTTCTGTGTCTATCCGATTTCCAGAGAAAGGCATCCTTCTAACTTATTCCCCTGTCGTTCTATATCTTTTGAGAGCTTTGTCTCTCTGTCTGTCTATCTTTCCATTTTGGTCTCTCTTTGTCCTCTTCTCCGTCTGTTTGCCTTCCCCAAGCCTGTTCTCTCCATGTATCTTTCATTTTTTTCTTTCCCCCTCCAACTCCATGTCCTACTCACTCTCTCTCTCTATCTCCCTCCCTCTCCCCTCCCAAATAATTTATCCATTTTGTATCTGTACATATTGTCCCTCTCTTGTTCTCTTTCTTGCACCTGTACACCTTTAACTCCATCATTACCACCTTCTTCATCTTCCCCAATTTTAATTTATATATCCCAATATAATTACCCTAAAGCCATACTGTACTAGAAGCACTACTGCAAAATCCCCTCTAGCACCATCTCAGGTCAGCTGTAGCAGTATGGTTCTGTAAGTCGCTGCTTCCCTAGCTGCGCTGTTGATCTTGTATCAAATTCTCTGTCTGTTAAGTGGGAATTACCTATTGGTTACGCATTGTTGGCAACTTGGCCATGAGATGGTGCTGTGCAATAAACAGTACGCTAGGCAAAAAGCTCATCAGTTCAGTATCGCTTTAAGCACAGAAGTCAATAATTTTGCTACCAACTTACCACTGAATTTGGCAAAGTAAGCCTTTTTGTATTTGAATCCATCAGCATCATTCCAGAAGTGAGTTGGCATGCATGGGAATGGTTTGGTACAGACCAGTTCTCCACTTTCTCCATATACAAGTTTGCCTAAGGGAGTGAATAGAAACATGGCATAAAGACAGTGACACAAATACACGGGGACTCGGGGCAAATTAGCCGCTGAAATGCTAAAAAGAGCCCCCGAAAGTCATAAAAGAGCCCCAAAAAATGTGCATAGAGTTCAATGCAAACAAATTAAAGAGTGTTATTTTCATGCAAGCAAGCTTGAAAAGTAGCCCCCCAAATTTTTAAAGTATGTTTTCCCCTGCATAAAGGCTTGTTCAGATATGGTGCAGTAATCCGCCGCAAAAAAATGCCACATTTTTTTTAATGTGTAAAATACATGGCAAGTGCTTCATATGCTGAATGAGCCTAAAAAAATACTGTACACATGGTCTTAAAATGGCAATCCTAAGCACCACTAATGATATAATCATTCATGTAAATGTGCAGTGGTATAACCACCCACGGTGGATAGCACCACCACCACCACCACCACCACACTACTACTATCACTACCACTACCACTACTACAAGTAATAATAATAATGATAACAACAATATCACTACCAAGTAGCATAACAAATATTTTTCAATCCCTAGGTTTTACAAATGCAAACTCGGTATATAGATTATTACAATGTATCAAATTACTTTCCAAGAAATGAAACAATATAACATCAATGCTACAAAATATATCAAAGAGACAAACAATTGTTATCTGAATCCAACTGCACACTATATGATCTGACTATGATAACATTTTTGAAGAATTTTCAATGGCCTTTAATACGAAGTATCAAAATCTTATTGATTGAGGATCTGAATATTAATCGCTTCGTTATTTAGAGCCTAAATCAGGAGGATGGTGGTTAATAAGATTTCCATATCTAATATAACCACAGGAGGATCAAGTAGTGTGTGCTTAGCTTCAGGTTTCTATATACCTTCTTCACTCCAAGATTCAATAGCCATGCCTAGATTCCTGGCTTGGATCTCTCCTCTGTAAACCGGAACAGTCCAGTTCTGACCGGCAAAGCATGAGATCAGATCAGTCCCACCTATAAAGAATAAGCAAAGTAAAGGATCGATAACTTGAAACATGGTAAACTGCCCTGTTTTCTTTTTTTTTATAATGATCTTAAAGTGACTCGGTAACATCGTTGAAAGTTCTCATATAACACAGATCTGTGCATGAGAACGTGTAGGACATCTGTTGCAGACAGCTTCTTTATTTCGTCACCACCACTTTCCATTCGCTTACAGGTCCCACAATGCTGCAGTATAATTCCCACATCATGTGTTAACGAGCTATCAAATCTCATCTGTCAAAAAAGTCTTAAAGTGTATTTATTTTGTTCTTATTTGATAGCTCACATTGGTCCAAAAATTATCATTTTAGGAAAATTGGTCCATTATCACTCGTGTAAAATCACTAAATATTACTGTACAAGATAGCATCAATCAAAAGGGATTAATACCTGTTATTGAGCCCAGCAGAATATCATCCTTCACGCATGAGTACACATAGTCATACGATGCAGGGGTTAAAGGTGAACCGGTTGACAATATCGTATGAAGCTTCTCAAGTCTGTGTGTTTTTCCTGTTACAAAGACAAAAAGTCAAACACATTCAATAACGCCTAGTGTTTTTCCTTCTCTAAATATGGTAGTCAGACATAATCCAATGGTTGCCCTGACAGAAACGTGTGGTATTCAAGATACTCGTCACTACATGCTTGTTTCAAAGCACAGAACAATATCACCCCAACTTCTTCATCAGACCCTATTCATAAACATATACTTTCAACCATCAATCACATCTTCAGACTGTACAACCTGTAAACATATGGAAACCGATTCTTCATGTAGCATCAGCCCACAACTCCTTGAAATGCATTTAAATCTTAATTATACACAAATTTCAATGGGTTGTCTGTGAACTTGTACTTATGACGGTTTAATGAAACGATGCCCGGTGAAATAGACACCTCCATTGATCTAATAAATGTAAGGATAATGATATATATAAACCTACTTGGATGTACTCCTAAATCTTCCAGTACAGACAGCCATTTGGCACCGGTTCCTAAGATGGAGATACTGCAGGGTTAATGTAGGGGGAAGGGGTGGGAGAAGATGAGAGTAAGAGGGAGAGGTAAATGGAGGGAATGACAAAGAAAATAGAGGGAAAGAGAGAGAGAAAAAGACAGAAAGGAACAGAAAGGATCAGATTGAGAGGAAAACAAGATTAAGAGGGCCAGAGAGGGAGAGAGAGAGAGAGAGAGAGAGTCAAAGAGAGATAATGAATGAAGAAGAGAGAGAGCATAAGAAAGAGAAGGGGCGAAAAAAGAGAAGGGGCGAAAAAAGGGAAGTTGAGAGGAAAATTAAGATACGAGAGCAAAAGAAGAGATTGCAGTAGAGAGAGACAGAGAAATAAAGAAACAGAGAGAAGGAAACAGAAAGGAAATAAAGATTGAGATTGAGAAAGGGGAAGATGATAAAATGGAAGGGAAATAAAGGGAGAAAAATGAGAATAGATAAAAATTGATGAGACAAAAAGTATAAAGATTGAACAACGGATGCAAATGGGGTTAATGAGATATGAATGACATTGATAATACTGTGCACGGAATGCTAGGACATGTAAATTATCCCAGTGAATCATCTCACTTCCGCCATAGATATACCATGATCCTTAAGGGCTCGTTCAAATATGATGCAGTAAACTGCCACTAGAAAAAAAAAGGTGGTTTCTTAACGCGCAAATGAACAGTAACTGTGCACAACAAAGGTCCTATTCATATTCACTTAGCTCTGTTTTATAAGACAAAAATGTGAAGTTTATAACACTTATATGTCAGATATGCCGTGCCAAATATGAACGAGGCTTTATACTACTCAACGACTTACAAGGTTTTACTCTTGTTTTACGTGGTCATTTTTAAATGACACAAATTATGGAAAGCAAAACAGAAACAAATCATACATCACACAATCTATGTAATTTTTAAAATGCAGTTTCAAAACAAGTCTAACATACTTACTCTAACATGTCTATCAGGTCCCAAAGGACATTGGGTCCTGGAACTAATGGGGAACCATCGTACAGGACTATACCGCTGCCTACAGCCAACCCAGAGACTAGCCAGTTCCACATCATCCAACCAGTCTGAGACAAGAACAAAATATTCATAGAATATTAAAGGGTTTTTAACTTTAAATCTTTTTGGAAGAGATCCAGATTGAACTTTTTAGAGGCCGTTTGCATGAGCTCTTTGTTCACATTTTGAAATATTTTGGGTCCACCCTAGACTTAGATTTTGGGCACTTGTTGTTTTGTATTCCGGGCACCTATGTATTCCAAGCACTTGTTAGTGTCGACCCCATTAAAATGTTTGCTGTTTATGCACTCATGAAAAAGATGTGTATGGTTTTATATTTTTATACATATACAAATGTTGTCTTTGTTCCTTTTCCATTCTCTTCTTCCTTCCCGATACTTTTCATCCCTTTCATGCCCTCCCTCCCTCCCTCCCTCCATTAACTCTCTTACTCAATGGGATGTCCAAGAAGTTAGATTTACAACGGTTTTGAGAAATGGCTACCGGTTGTCTTACCGTACTATAATAGATGATGTTGTCTTCTCTCCTCATGTTACCATGGAGAATGTGCTCCTTCAGATGCTGAATGAGAGTGCCCTAAATTAACAAGAAAAATGTATCATTACTAGTTGAAATTGTGGATAAAATAAACCATGACAAAAATCAATAACAAAACTTTCCTCTTCATCTATATCATATTTGCTGCAATAGTCTTTACAAACTGATACCAGAAGGACAAGTGCATTGACCCCACATCGCCAACAAAAATGAGAAAACCATATGCAACATTCTGTCTAAACAATTTGTATTACAAGAAAGCACATCTTTTACAATAGATCTGTTGAAATATAAACTTATCTTGCCAATATACCTTTGATCTTGCATTTTCAACAAAGCTTGTCCTGTCTTCACTAATTCTCTGCTCCACAATTTAATAAATACAAGAAAAGCACAACTATTTTTATCGAAAAAAAAAATGAGGAAATACTTTCTGATTAAACAATTTTTTGCCACTGATACTCTGTTTTGCAAACGTATCACTAAACAGATTTGAATTATAACCCCCCCCCCCCCAACAAAAATTTTAAAAATATCACAGTCCTCAAAACGATTTGATAAATAAAGGGTGTGGTCAAAACTTACCCCTGAGGAGTGGACCATGCACTTTGGCGCCCCTGTGGTTCCGGATGAATACATGATGAAGAGAGGGTGGTTGAAGGGTAGCTGTTCAAACTCCAGCAGAGGATAGGACCCATCCATCTCCTGACCGGACTTTAAGAATTCGGAGGTAAATGCGCTGCAAAAAGTAAAAATTCAGACTGCAAGAATAAATTCAAAAGTGTATAAATCACTGTCTGAATTTTGAATATGCGAATATCCATATCGTTATCCTCTTTCTCTCTCTCTCTCTCACCTTTGTATCCTTCTTATTGTTTGACTTGCAGATAAAGAGTTATACATGTAAGGTGAAAACAGGTAATCTACTTTAAGTATCAAGCATAGACTCTATCTTGATGCTTCAACAAATATAAGGTGACTTGCTTCAAGCCTACATAGTGACCATAAGACGGGGTGTTGTGGCATATGCGCCTGTAATCCAGCTAACAATGGAAGTTATAAACTGATTCAGCCGATGGCGCAGGTTCGAAACTGAGTCAAGTTTTTCGGATGGTGACGTTAAAAAGTCAGTCCCCAGACGTAAATAATCATATCTGATTGATACACGTCTGTAAAAACCCGATTACACACACACACACACACGCATCTTTTCACATTGCTCATATGGAGTAGTCTATGCACCAGGTGGTTCAGACCTTACACTAGCTGTCACAACCAAAAAGGATGACCTCACCTGTTTGGAATGTCTGAGAGGTCAAGTTCAGCTGGGGCTCTGACGTAGGGAATGACAACGACCTTCTCCAGCTCTGGGAGGCCCTCTACGACCTGCTTCAGCTTGGCCAGGTGGTCATGGGTCTTGCCGTTATAGACCACAGCGTCCACGGAGAAGATGACCTTGGGCTTGATCTGTTTGAACCTGTCCAACACACCCTGAGAATAATCGAAAGAGAGAATGATAAAATAAGATAAGAGATTTATTTCTTAATCATGCCCAGTATTCAATTCAATATTGAAGTCAGAATTACCATTACCTTACTCAGTACTGCATGGGCCTAGATGAAAGTCATGCACATGTACTTTAAAGCGGGACTGCACTACTTGATCTACTTTTGCCCTCTATATAGCCAACAATGCCTAAGCGGTACCCGTTGCCCCCCCCCCCCCCCCAATGAACCCCTTTTTCTTATGTTAATTGAGAGCTCATTTGATGAGATAACCACCTGTCAGTGACCTTGCGGGGAGGTCTAATCCCCCTGGCCAAACTAGTGCAGACGGTCTTTAATCGTCAACTCTGATATTCAGTTATGGTAAGTACTTTGGCCAAGTACAGTATTTGACCATGAGCCACAGATAGTTACGTAGATAGCAGACTGAGGTCAATCAATTAAAAGCCTTGAATGGTTGATGGCAGTAGTTCCCATAATACCCAAGTCATTAATCAGCACACAGTTTGGGAATAATTCCTAATTGTGAGAAGTTTCATTCACAGACCTTTCCCAAATAAACGATCTGTCAAAGACATTCATTTACATGTTATCTGTTAACCAAAACAGAACATATAGCAAACAATCTAACAAATACATATTTGAAGTGTTTAAAATAAAAAAGATGATATCCCTCAATAGAGACTGATTTTGGGTCTAATTAGTCATAGATCATTTACTTACGGTTACTCCAAAATCTGGTGATGTTGAGCTCCAGACGGCTCCTATACTTGCTGCTGCTAACATGGCCTCTATTGCTACAGCACAGTTGGGAATATAGCCTGAAAACGAGACAAATACCAATAACACCAAAAACTATTAAGCAATGGATACAAACATGATTGTGAGAGTGAAAGAGAGTTGTAACATGCGCATACATGTAGTATGCAGTGATAGGTAACATCCGATTGGAGCTCTAAATAGTTTCATCCCATGGGCAATCTCAAAGGGCAGGATCTATTTGGAGCTCCATGAAATGATTGACCGATCAAAATAGCATTGAAGAGAGACGTACTGAAGATATTCATCTTGCATTCATCAACGTAAACCACAAGAATGGCAAGAAAGTCTAAATCACACAAAAATAAACTAAAACTCAAGGGACAAAGTGCCCCCCAAATAACCGGCTTTCTTGCAGTGTACTCTAATAAGTGCAAGATGAAAAGGTCTTGGCATGTCTCTCTCATTGATGCCACCTTTCACATTTGGATTATCAAACATCTTTTTAAAGGCATTGATTAACAATACATGTTATCAGCATCTGTGACATGGTGTAATATTGAAGCCCTAAAAAAATGTGCTTCAAAATGATCATGAAGTGCCTCAAAAAAGTAAAAATGGTTGAGTGACCGGTTTTACCATACTAATTTTCCCCAATAGACTGTACATTTATAAAAACTGTTGGGAAAACGGTTTTTGAAATTTTGAATTCCAATCATAAATATCTTGATAATCAGACTGGCGTTCCGCTTGTAAACGTCATGGGATTCCTGACTGACGTAAAGGTTTATAATTATGATTGCAGTATAAGCTAAATCCAGGATTTTGTTTAGAATCTGAGACAAAGATAACTAATTCAAAAAATACTTACCTACTACTCTGTCTCCTGCTTTGACCCCCATCTTCTTCAAAGCTGCAGCAAATTGCCCAACAACCCTGTGCAGCTCAGCATACGTTATCCTCTCAATTTCTTTGTTTCCTTCCACTGAGCAAAAAATTAAAAAAGGGGGAAAATATGCCATTTTGCTATCCAATTCGAACACTTATATATTACTGAATGGCCTTGACATACAAGGGTACATCTCATGAGCTGATCGATGAGCATATTTCACGAGTCGGCACAATGATCGAAATATTCTAGAAGATTGTGCAATATACCCTTATGTCCCACGAAAGAATTTAAGCCATTTGATCTTATTGTTAATAATTGTATTAAACCTGTTATCTCAACTTTCAACATTGCATCCTTATGTTTTTGTATTAAATTGCACATTAAACTCCCAGCAAAAATAAACCAACCTATTTTACCTTAAAATTATTTTTCAAAGACAGCTTGCATGTACATCAATTGTTTTAGCCTGTCCATACTTCAATGTGTATTCATTCATGCACAAGTGCATGGTTATCTGGGCATGCACTTTCGCCAAAAGTAAAAGACATAGAGGTACTGATTTTTCTGGTTGGCTCAAAATCCTTTACAAATAATAATGAAAAGTGATCGATTTAGCTCTGGAAAGCTAAAAAATAACACTGGTAAATAACTGAAAAACTGAAAATGAGCTTTCGTAATAAAACATCAAATAAAATACTTAATTATCACTGTGAGAAAATCACACTTTTTTCCAAAACAGAAAAGGTACTTTTCACACTGATGAGTTACATGTATACCTGCAGCAAAGAGTGCGACCCTATCATCTCGGTATCTCAGAAGATTTTCAGCGAAGTTGAGTCTGCTGCCCTCAAACCACACCGGCACTTCGTCTATCCCTTTACTTGGATCAACCACCTGTAACAGATAAAAGTTGTGACACCTAGACATTTAGTGAAAGATTTGTGACAAGAGGAAATCATGACATTATGAAGTGGTACTAATCAAAGCTAATCTGAAAAAGAATTGTTGCACATAGAAATTGTGACATCAAGAACTCACAAAGTAGTGAAAATCTAATAATCACTGCTACATAGAAAATGTTATGAATGAGACACAAATGAGTTGTATCTGAGGGTGTTTTTAATGATACCGCCTACTGGACCATATCTCTTTCCTTTTTCTTAGCCCACCTCCTTTTATATTTGATATTTTCCCCTTGACAACATTTTTTGTTTTTTTTTAATTGGGGGAAATTTTAAAAGTAAAGTGATAAATATTTATTCAAACAACTTGCATTTATATTGACCATATAGGATTTGTATGAGTAGGAAGAATATCAACAACAAAAAAAAGAAAGGGATCAGCTTTTCATTTTCTAAAGGTCCTGATGAGAATCTAGCCTTTAATTTAAAGTGGCCTTGTCTATTTTCAGGAGTTTAATATACATGTAAACCCAGTATGACATGTACGGTATACTCTTTAACACAGCAAAGCTCTGTGTAGGCTTGCTAATAATAAACCAAAATCAATAACTAGAGCCACACTCCTATTGATTCTCGTCATATGGTAATGTGTACTCAATCATATTTGCAGTAAACATAAAGCGGTAGACTACAAGTATTACAAGGTGGGTTACTAATCACTATGACGTAAAAAATATCCCCAGTGTGAGTTGATGGTTACCATTTGTTTTTGAATAATCTCAAGATGTACATGTATCTAGACATTTTCTACACATAGACAATGTACACTATATAATTCCAGTGCATTCTTTCCCACCCCCCCCCCCCCTAAAGCAGCAACAGTGTTTTGATCATTAATATGGATCAACTCAGAGCTATCTATATTACAGAGTTTGGCCAACGCAGTTCTAGTTTGGGCACAACATGGTAAATATTGCTTTGTTGTCCATGCAAGCACAAAACAAAAGAAAATACAGGTCATGTAACAAAAATCCAAGTTGGCCAAACTCTGTGTATGGATGGCTTTAATATACTACAGATGTGTCAAAAACAGGATCCTAATTGACTTTCTTTGCACTCATGACTCATTCAAACATAATAGTTCAGTTGGCCAAGTTTTCGAGTAGATGGTTGGAAGACTTCAAGTTACCATTGCCGTTGCGACACAATTTTTTGTGCAAATAATTTAATAATGACAGCTACTTTTGTGGCATGACATTTTTGTGAATTTCCCAAATTATGTAAAAGTGAACTACGGTATGAATCCATCACTGAAATATATAATTACGACTCCATGACATTTCACCAGTTTGTCCTGGCATATTCAGGTAGTCCGATTCCCAGTTCCAAAATTTATATTGTTTAGAAGGGATTCATTATTAAACAGATGTAGCATGCAACAATCGCAAATCTTACCACTGGTGACATTTCGCGAAAGTTTTATGTACATGAAAATGTCTGGTTTTACAGTGATTATCCAAACTTTGTTTGATACTACACAATATTACTTACCCTGCTATACATCTGAGAATGAACAATATCAAAAAATTTCCAACATTCTCCCCAGAATTCAGGATAATGATCCACGGACCACTGCCACAGGTCATCATATGACTCTGCAAAGGAGAACAAAAACAAAGAAATCAAATATTAATTGAAAGATAAAATAACAATTACAAGTCAATAATAGTAATAATAATAATATTAACAACAACAACAACAATAACAATCATAGTGATGATAATAATAATCATGGTTACTTTTTATCATAATATTAATCAACATTGTCATGAAAGGAATAACATTTTACTGGGATGCTCGTTAAAGTAATATCACTTGTTTTGATATTCACAGGGACATTACTAAAGTTGTCAAACAATAATCCAATGACCTGTGAAAAATAATGACAGTAAATTGGACACTGAAAAATATAAAGTCTTACAATTTTAAACCCACTTTTCTCGAGCTGCACATGTTTTTTTTGGTAAATCAAGAGCATCAGATTGATGTCAAAACAAAGGAAGGAAACTGTGTGCATGAGCAAAAAAAGAGAAAAAAACTCTGACAAAAAAACAAAAGAAATATCAATTTTTTGTTTGTAAATATGAAGCGAGAACACAATAATTTTGTTAAGGACATAAAAAGAGAGAAATAATAATTTTGTGAACACAATAATTAGTCTTCACCATCAAAAGTCCACTAGGTTTATTTTGTTACTTTATTAATGAAAGTCACTGACATTATGGTCCAGAATCATTTTTTTTACTTTCTAAACATAATTCCAAATTCAATAACAGCAAAGCACAATAATTTATACCGGCAGTTGATGCCACTTCATAGAGGCAGTTTTGATAATCCTTCAAAACACGCTTCCGAACGTACCAGCACATTCCAGAAGAATGGAAGTATTCAAAATTTTTATCACCAAATGGAAAGCATTTATTGATACAACTGATGATAAATGCAGGTACGAACACATTTTTTGGATAAATTCTTGACTCATTTTCAAAATGCTTTGCACAAGTAGAAAGAAGACTCCTGGACCGATTTTAGAGTGCGGAATGGGTGATAACAAAAACATGTTGTCATGTTCACATAACTCTTACAGGTATTTGGATGCCAATTAAGGCTTGGGATATCATCGTATTTCATGTTATCACAATACAAATGCTTATTGTCATGATGAAAAGCCAAAATAAGGTAGTTTTAATCCACAAATCATCAATGACTGAAAATCTCTGACTCTCTGTCCGAGGAAGTAGTCACTGCTCCCTATGTTAATGCATTCAAGATCAGACTTCACTAAATAAGGGTAAACCAAATCTTCTGATAAATGTAACTAGACTGCTGCAAAGAATTAAGGCACTGAACAGGGGAGCCAGAAAGAAAGAGTGAGAGAGAGAAAACAGCGTGAAGAAAAAATAGAAAGAATGATCCAATTAAGCCAATCAATGAGCAGCAATGAGACCTAGAAGAAGAACTGGAAGCCCGAGTGCTGAGATGACAGCATTCTTCCACAAACTTGTTAAACTGAAGTTAAAGCCTTCATCCCATATCACCAAATTAAAGATAAAGACCAGTTATGGTCATGCGATTGCATTGTGAAAGAAACGTTGTGGAATCGATCAGAAAAGGTTGTTTATCTATAAGTATTGGGGTGTACTGCAAGGTTCTGGAATCTGGAATCATCAAAATGAAAAGAAATTTGGCCCAGTCTTCGTAAAGTTACAAGCACTGTACACAGACAGATGTATATGGGACTACGCACACATGCGCGACACATGCATTTATCTCTCACACACCAATAGATAAACTAATTAACCAAATATATCAATTAGTAGGCGGTTTCGCGGCAAAATTGTTATCATCATGTATTAGTCAAAACATTCTTTCACATGATTGGTAATAAGAGCTTCCATTTCATTTTTTGAAATTGAGGCATTTCCAATACTGGTCTTTAACTTTAAGTGAAGCCATTTCATTTTCAGAATTCAGCTCAAGTCACTAGCTAGTAATCATGCTAGAGCTATCACTGAGTTTTTGTTTGTAATGGCTCTCTACATAGCCATCGGCAGGTGAATGCCAAGGCAGCGCAGGCCTAGGCCAGTCAACCTCCAGTGGGCTAGGTCGGGGCACGGCGCTGCTCTGAGTTGCCGGTGCGGTGCCATGACCCAACTTCGCATGTATGCGGCTCGTGGCACTTGGCCTTTGCCTTGGCGACGATAATACATACCGATTTTCAGGTTATAAGAGCTGTTAATGATCCCTCTGAACTCATCCATCTTTGTTTTTCTATTTGGATCCGGATGCCACATAACCTTTGAACCTTCTGCAGTCATTTTAACGATATTTTAGTCAAAATTTAGAGAAAGATAGTATCGTCTCGACCACTTCGAGTCCGAGTCTGCAGTAATTGTGAAATATACGTAGTCTGCAAGCATTAGGCCACGCCTACCTCAGACTGAGACCAATTCTCAATATTACAACGCATAGACTCCGACGATAAGATATGCTGAAGGCGCGATAACAGTCAATATATTTGTCCACAATATTGAATTTTCATCTCGAATTATAATATCATTTTATCTACACTTCTTCCCCAAAACCGTTAAAATTATATTTTTATTACATCAATAAATATAAATGACATATTTTAGATTCATTTTATTTTTATCTCTAATCATAGGCGCTATAATAGATCCGTAAATTACGTCGAACGGAACCCTGCAGTTCATTGGTCGACGAGCAGATCGCACGATGTTCGCCTTATTTTGTGTACAATGCGACGTACCTGTGCCTTGGAGGTGTGTCGAAGGCGTTACCCATCACCGACCAATCATCGCTCGGGATGATAAACTTATACGTATGTTGCATGTGGGAAGAAAGAGACGGGATGGTAGAGAAAAGGGATGAGGATGGGGAGTGACCTCCAGGAAGAACAGTGTCATATATTTTTATGACACTGAACGGGCAATCCAGCCAATCATTTTTAAGCAATCTATATACACATGTAATTTATTTTTTTTAATTCTGTTATGTTTCATTTCGTTTTATGTCATATGTTATTTGTCTTTTTAATATGATTGGAAATAAATACAATACAAAAAGAAAGAATGAAAAAAAGAGAGAGAGAGGGAGAGAGAGAGAGAGAGAGAGAGAGAGTTTAAAGTTTGAAACAAAAGTACATTTTGTATATGATTATACTTATGCATTGACAATATAGCAAACTCTTTAGAATATTTTTTTTGTTGCGAACTTTAAATTTAGAGAGAGTAAATGAACTTAATGTTTAATACTTCGGAGTAGACTATTCCACAATTTTATACATTATATACGAAAACATAAAAAAAGAAACTTCAGGTTGATGAAACATAACATTGACGAGTATAATGAGAATGCACAGATGAGGGTAAACATGTTTTCAAACAAACTTGGTAAGATAACTGTTTTGTATTTGTACATAGAGAGTGTTCAAAGATATCAGTTCAAAGAGTGGCAAGATTATTCTGAAACACTGGCATGATGGGGCAAGTGATAATAATGAGAATAATAATACTGATTTAATATCCACGAGATTTTCTTATGAAATGGGCCATATCCCTTTTTTTCCACATAAGTATTATTTCTTTGTATTTGAATCATAGATATATACTTAATTGTTAGTAGTATATATCTCTATGATTTGAATCTATCTGTTTCATTGTGTGAAAGCTCCAACACAAGCTGTTGCTATTCAATTAAAATTGTATACATCTACTATTTCTTGATTGAGTAAATTTGAGTTTATATGAAGGTCTTCATAAAATAATAAGGAAATTTGATTATGAATTGATACTGAATCTGAAATATCATTTGGGAACACGCCTATATTGACATTAGAGGAATATGTCAAATTTGTTCTAATTCAATCTATATTCTTGGGAATTTTTGTGTTACAAAAGGAAATGGAGAGAGAGAGAGAGAGAGAGAGAGAGAGAGAGAGAGAAAGAGAGAGAGAGAGAGAGAGAGAGAGAGAGAGAGAGAGGTGGGGAGGGAGTGACTGGGGGAGAGCCGGAGGGGGGGGGGGGGGGGGCGAACTTGCACGCTTTCAAGAAATGGTAATTAGAACGAAGAGAGAAAACTACTACAATGCTCTTTGCCCATAGAGGGCGACATGCTTAAATGACTATAGGAGCTCTTTCAGTTACAGTTTTAGTTTTAGTTATTTTTCATTTCCATCAGAACAGTAATTTTGACAAGAAATCAGATATACAATTCAATAATAAAATACATTTTACATGGCTTCAAGTTATGAAATAGAAAGTATACATTTATATCCCGTATAATGTTCTTTTTTAAGTTTTGTCAAGATAAACCTGTGGAAATGGAGGGATCGACTGAAAAGCAAAGCTTGTAGAAAGTGGATCCCTCAAAATAATGACAAACATAATTTTTGAAACCTGTAAATATATTGACTTGAAGAAAAAAAAATGTGCATAGATTACAAAAAAATGGCAGAATAATAAAACAATTATAAATCCGTAATTTGAAAACTTGTTACGACAGACACGTTTATATTAAAATAGTGAAAACTGGAAAGGTCAAAAGAGACAATGACGACTAACAGATTAATGTATAATAATAATAAACAAAATGTATAATAGAACAGAAAATAAAGCAAGGAAAGAGAGAAATGGAAGAATCGAAAATGTTGCTGTAAATGTGAAGAGTATAGAAAAAGAGAGGAGAAGAAAGGAGAGTGGGAGAGAGCACACGGTGTGCATACTGCAGGGGTAGTGACCAGTAAAATACATACGGTAAAAAAAAGACGTGACGGGATGGATTTAAGGAAGACAAAACATGTTTTGTCAATGCAGTGAAATTGATTTGTATTGTAAGGAAGTATAAGAAATAATTTCAATTTCATCTTAAGGGAGGGGGCAAGTTGAATGTCATCATGAAGATAGATCCAAAATTTGGGGGCTGTATAAATAAACGTGTTTTGAGATAGAAAGATTCTCAGCAAAGGTAAATGAAAGTCATTACAATGACGAGTTGGGTACTTATGGGAGGATTATTAGGGTGAACATTATCATCAAAAACGAAAGGAAGCATGTTACTATTATAAGTACACATACACAGGCCCAGATCTTTAACTTTTAATATTTTATTTTTGTACAGAAAATAGGATCCGTATGAGAGCGAAAATGAGAAAGGCAAATGATACGAAGAACTTTTTTGTTGTTGTAATAGAGGTTTTCCCGCCCGATTTCGTAAACTTAGCAATTTGATTTAGTAGCATGAGATTTCACACTCTTGTCACGGAGTCGTGCAAAACGAGCATTCAATTTAAGCTACGGTCACAAAGGTTCGTACAAACCATAGAGATATAATTAAGTATATATCTCTATATGGTACGAACGCATCGTTCGTTCGAATCTCCCTGTTTTTCCATTGTCTTCCCGAATTTCCTTTGTCTGAAAATCGTTCGTACGGCGTTCGTAGCAGTTCGTAATGGTATTTGTGATCGAGGCTTTAGAAAAGCATGCAAAGAGCAATCAAATTCGCGCCGGACAGACGGTGCTATAATTCGGGCATTCAATTTCGTGAATAGACATCCGTATTTAATTTGGCATTGTTTCTCATTTGATTTTAATTTCTTCCTTTGTATACTTCTGTTTGAAAAACGTATGCAAAGTTTGCTTGTAGGAATGACAATAACATGCGTATTTGTTAGCAGGTATTACTAACCAGAGGCGGATCCAGGGGGGGGGGGGGGGGCAACCCTGGTTAAAAAAAAAGGTAAAAACACGTTAATTTCACCTTTATTTGGAGACGGGCCCCCTCCCCTGGTGCTCGGGGGGGGGGGGGGGGTGCGATTTTTAAATTTTCGAGTGCAAACAAAAAATAGTGCTCACTACACCCCCCCCCCCCCTCCCCCGCCCATTTTGTGCATTGTTTTTCATTTGATTTTAATTTGTCCCTTTGTAATGGGTAAGAACGAAGAAAGAAAACTACAATGCTCTTTGTCAATAGAGGGCGACATGCTAAATTGGCAATTAGATCCTAAAACATAATAATATAGGAGTTCTAGACAAAATAACTCTTTATTCTGGTTATACGACTTTGGGAAGCAAATTCATTTTCATAAATGATGGTACTGAGATAGAATGAGAGGAGAGAGAGAGAGAGAGAGAGAAAGAAAGAGAGAATGAGAGGAGAGAGAGAGAGAGAGAGGGGGAGAGAGAGCGAGAGAGAGAGAGAGAGAGAGAGAGAATGAGAAGAGAGAGAAATAAAGAGAGGAGTGATGCGGGAGAAACGTTACGTTCACAGATATGGGTGAAGGCTGGATGAGGTACCTAAAAAAAAACACCTCAATGAACAGGGGTTTCTTTGATTGGAAATAAAATAATACATGGATAGGACTTGCATGTTTTTATCCAACCACTTTAACATTCGTACCCATCTGTCAGTTACACTATTCATGCGGAAAACACACTGATCTCTATTATTTATTTTTTTTAACGTAGAGACCTTATAGGAGACTTCCCTGGTTATACCATCGTATCCAAGTAAGTTTGAGTTCGTTGGGTATACTAACAAACTGTCATGCTTATTACGTTAGAGGGCGACATACGACTACACCATCGAGATCGTATACCGCCTTCTCAACTGTAGACTACCTACATAAACTGGCGGCGCGCGCGCCACTTGTGGCGCTTGCGGTCAGTCGGAGGGGCGCGCGACTGTTGCAACAACAAAACAAAAACAAAAAAACACAGAGAAAGAAAGAAAATATATATTTCAGAATTAAATACTCAGCTAAATCAAGAAGTTGCAGATTAAGAAAGCAACCAACACAAAGTGTCCTCTCTGCAATCTTGAAGAGGATACAGTAGCACATGATGTGGCTGCCTGCTCGACTACTGTCAACCATACTGGAAGACCATATCGACAGAGCCAGTAGACTCCTGCATAATGTCCTCGACTCTGCACCAAATACACCATTGCGCAACAGCCAGGACCCCTCCCATCTGACTTGCGCTATTCTCTTGCCATATGATTCTTCCCTTCCCTACACTGTCAATGATTCTATTTTAAAGATGACACTTCACTATCTTTACAAAATTCATGCCCATCGCATGCACTTTATACCCTCCAACTAAGGATTTTATAACATATTTACAGCAGCCTTACTACTTCGAATGCGATAAACTCGCTGATCTCCGAAAGGCGGAGGGACAACAACAGAGAGAGAGAGAGAGAGTGAGAGAGAGAGAGAGAGAGAGAGAGTCGAATTTGAGCCTAAAATGCCTGCTTAACAAACAGGAAGAAAGGGGGTAGTTTATCGTTTTTTACCATTTTATGTACGACTCAATCGCATCCAATACATTGCTGATCCGTTACTCCGGGTAGCAATTTGTTTCCTTTATTTTTCTCTTTCTCTCTCTCCCTCTCTCTCTCTCTCTCTCTCTCTCTCTCTCTCTCTCTATCTATCTCTCTCTCTCTCTCTCTTTACCTACCTTCTTCTCTTTCCCTTTCCCCGTTCTTCTGTATGGTATAGGCTGCCAAGGAGGGAGGAGCCGCTTTGGCCACACCTGGAAGCGCAACTGCCCTCATACTCCCTCATCATTGTGTTATTATTTCACACGTTCATCCACCCGGTGGCTTAATTCGATTTCAGTAAATATACACCTCTCTCTCTCTCTCTCTATCTATCTCTCTCTCTCTCTCTCTTTACCTACCTTCTTCTCTTTCCCTTTCCCCGTTCTTCTGTATGGTATAGGCTGCCAAGGAGGGAGGAGCCGCTTTGGCCACACCTGGAAGCGCAACTGCCCTCATACTCCCTCATCATTGTGTTATTATTTCACACGTTCATCCACCCGGTGGCTTAATTCGATTTCAGTAAATATACACCTGTGACCCTCAATGTCCATGTATACCCACACTGATTTAAAATAAAGGGCAAGTCTACTCCAAAAATAACTTACTTTCAATAGAAGCAGAAAATCAGACAAACCAATCAAGTGTGAGCAAAATCGGGTAACTAATAAGAAAGTTATGAATTTTTAATTTAATGACATGAAAAAGTTTGAAAATCACAAGACAAATTAGCAACTTACTAAATCATATATCCTCACACCAGCATCCAAGTTATATTTGAAGTAGGCCTAATAAGTTTTTGTGTGGGTGCACAAGTTTTTCAGTTAAGTCATGAACAAATGTGAATTTCGATAAACTATATATATATAAAAATTAATGATTATGAATATAATATTCAGAAAATAGTGGGATTATTTTTCAAAGTTCGTATAAGATTTTGTGAAATGATTTGCACGCAATTTGATACAAATAACCTGGGCAAAGGTATGGGTAAATCAATTTTTTGTGGATAAAAAGGGAAATTATTGGAATAAAAGTAGGTCTATTGTTATTGATAAAGAGTGAGGGCAATGACGTCACAAACTGATAACCAAATTGGCAATTTGTGTAGAGATTTTCTAAGTTTCATATAAGTTGTTCATACTTTAAACAAAATCATAACTTCCTTATTAGTTATTCGATTTTACTAAGATTGTTTTGTTCTGTTTCTCCTGTTTTTCTGCATAATATTTAAAGCACATTATTTTTCGAGTGGTCTTAGCCTGACTGAATTTTCAATATGTTCATGTTTACAGGGGCGAAGGGCCTGCGTGGTTAGTTCGTTTACATAAAGAAGAAAAACTAAAAGAAAGGAAGACAAACTGACTGACAGACAGAGAGAAAATGAAGAAGAAAAAAAAAAGTCGAAAAAATATACACAGAAGAAGAAGAAGAACAAGTATAATAACAAGAAGGATGAGGAGGATGGGTAGAAGAAGAATTTTAAAAATGGAGGAGGATCGAGGAGGAGGAGGAGGAGGAGAAGGACAAGAAGGAGAAGAAGGAGAATAAGAACAAGCAGAAGAAAAGAAGAAGAAGAAGAAGAAGAAGAAGAAGAAGAAGAAGAAGAAGAAGAAGAAGAAGAAGAAAAAGAAGAAAAGCCAGAAGACGAATAAAAACGACACAGAAGAAGAAAGAGAAAGAAACAAAGGCTTCTCATAAGACTCGGCCTTTTTAGGCCTATATCGGCAGCCGCAATTAATGACTCAACTCAATTTCTCACAAGTTTCCCGGACCAGACCACCCTCAAGAGCACAGTTTTCCACTCTCTTCCTTTTACATGCTCTTTCCTATTCAAAGTCCTCCAAGCTTACTTCTAAACACTCGTCTCGCTTTCATTACCTCTGAATTGAAACCAATCGATTAATCCTCTAAAGTAGGCCTATTGGTCAGTCTTAATAAAAGGACAATAACAGGGGTTGGCTAAAGAGTAAATGAATAAAGGTATATACCGTATTGTTGTTTGAATGAGGCAGTCCTCCTACCCCCTATACCCTCTATCATCCCCCGAAAAAGAGAACAAAACCATGAATCATAATAACCTAGGCATATAGAAGTCGAATTGGAAAATTGGTTATTTCAAGAAAAGTGAATGCGGAACTATGGAGCAAAAGGAATTCGTGGCACTATCAAAACTTAATTAGAGAAAAAAAGTTATGTTCAGATATAATGGGTATGGGGCTTTAATTATAAAACTGTCGCGAATCTGAACCAGTCGAGTTCGCGAATATGTTTTTTATGCACGCAAAAGTTTTTTCTTTTATAATACATCGCTTGGAAATGGTATCCGGACCATTGCAATTGTCTAAAGTAGACCTGAGGCTAAAAGTGAAATAATAATAAAGAAGTATAATATAAATTATGTATACCCCACACACGATGTACTGTGGTGGCGGTGGTGGTTAGGGGGGGGGGGGGTATTTCGACCGCCCCCTTTTCCCCAAACTACGGTCTCGCCCTAAACTTGATTACGCCAAATTGCAATAATCTGCCATGACCTCACGCACCCGGAAGATCTCCTTTTGCCCTCGGAAGTATCGCTATAATGAATACTTAATAACTTATTTCTTGTCGGCATTTCTACCAAAAATACAAAGTGATCGCATTACAAAGGCTGAACGTGAAAAGATCGGTGAGAGGGCACACCATTATTGGCCGAGTGCGCTTTCAGAGAGCTTTGTGGGCGGATTATTAGTCCTTTATCCTAGCCGTTTTGTTACAACGGTGCAAATAGATTAGTTAATTATCTCTAAAAGCAGATTTATCATACGTGAATTCAATTTTTCTGAGCTTAATAAAGAATGAATTAAAACAGTGACGAAATATCACTTATTTTTTGTTCAGTAGTTAGCAGGAATTCTACACGGTATTTGTAAATTGATAATTTGCGACTGAATTTTAGAACTATCCTGATAAGCTACAGTCAAACCATGGACCATCTACGATGTGTTGTGGGTCTATGCATGCAGAGAATATAGTGTGTGTATACTGTGTACGAGTTTCCGATCGCGGCCGTGCCGCCGCCGCAACAAAAGCATAGCCGCGCTCATATAGATTCCAGCTAGCTGTACGTACGCGAATAGTGCCTAATGCTGTGGATCGTGGAAAACAAAAATACTACAAGAAGAGTCGAAGCTCCATCAGCTGTATTCTACCTTACAAACTTATTGGTGTGATTTTACTGTAGCTGTCTAACATGCTTCACGGAATTTTGTTAAACCGAAGCAATTATTAGGCCAAATTTAAGGTGAAATCTTGATCGGAATAATACCTTGTCGTGGACTTTATCAGTAGTGGGCTGACTACTCCCCGCAGTGCGACGGTGTGATAATTCCATGCCGGACCAGTGGACAAGGGCTGCCCAGTGCTGGAGGAGGTGACCGATCACACGGCACCGCATCTAGAGTGGTTTCTCTACAGAGAGTCAAGCTAGGCAAAAATGGCGAAGATACTGTATTTCGTTGTCACTGTGGCAGTGATACAGTGCATAGGATCGTTGCAAGGTAAGGGCTTGTAATTGTAATTGTGACTGATATCTACATGTATGATGTATGATGATGCATGCGTATGTGACTAGCTCTCCCCTTTGATCATCTAATTCATCACATTCACCATTGCCTTGCAAGGCCTTGCGCCTTGGCCTTGTTCATCGTGTTAATTTGTTGTTTGGCTGGCAGCAGGCATCATTTAGTGGCAGGCAACATTGCTTGCTTTTGCTCTTGTCCGAGACTGGCTGGGAATGTGTAGGATGTAGATTTTTATTGGTCAGTGATCACTGCATGTACAGTAGACCTAGATCTACATCATGTTTGTTGGTGAAAAAGATATTTCTTTAACTTTTTACTTTTGACCCATTTGTAAAATTATAATCTACAAGATGAGGTTTCCTAAATTGTAATGTTGTTGTTGGTAATAGTTTAATGGCGTTCATGCATTCAGTATTGAATATATACGCTATATCTTCAGTTTTATAAGATAATCACTCCGTAAGAAAACTGAAAATAAAGATTTGTAATGATATAATTAATAGGCCTTATCGCAAATAGCCTCACGCAAGGGACGATGGGATTGAAAAGGGAGCAAGAGCGCCGCAAACGTCTGATCGCGACGATGCGAAACGCTAGCAGCCGACGCGCTCTGTGTACACTACACACGTACGTACTATACTACGTACATCGAACGTTGGCTTATTCTACTTTCAGCTCCTATACCGATCAAACATCTCGTGATATTTTGTCTTGCAAACTCACTGATTACATTGATTCTACATGATGGGTGGTGGAGACAGATGTGCTGTCTATGGATGCAACAATAACCGAAGATATCCAGAAAGATAAGAATGATTTTGATGTTTTACTTTCGAGTTTTGTGATGACAAAGTGGGAGGCACTGCATGCCTCTAAATCTAATCGAAACAGTGTTACGAGCGATTGGCGAAGGGAATCGTTTCGGGACAGCTACGGCGTTCGTTGTTGCCAACAACAGGCGCTAAATCTGACCTTGCCATTCTTAATGCTTTTCATCTACCTGGTTTAATTTATTTGATTGCCCCTGTGATTTTCCTTTTTTGAAAGAAAATTGCCTTATCAATACATTGAAATCAATCATCAACATTTTTGTCTGGAATTCGGAATAGCTGGGGGAAGTTTTCTGCGAAAATTAGTTGAACGAAATGAGAAAATAAGTTCAATTGACAATTTTAAATCGTATACATGATGATTCAGATGATTGTTGATCTAATTTGTGTCTTCTTTTTTTTCTCCCCACAGATATGTTGTGAAGAACCACAACTAAAGTTTCACAAGTGCACAGATCCTCGGAACTATACGCCCAGTGGACCAGGCGTTTTTTTTTCTTCAATCCTATAATATTTTTATCATAGCGAAGACATCCACATACATGCAATTGCACCTAAATATTTTGTGTGTCTTTTTATTTAGATTTGAGATTTGCAGAGATGGAAAAAGATAAGAGAATAAGTCATTTACACAAGGGCGAAGGTCTGAAGAATGTGAAAGGAGAGCTGGCAAAATATAAAAAGATAAAAGAAACACATGCTACATTACAAGCAGTATATGTATGAGATGGAGGATAAAAATGTGAAAGAGAATGTGATTAAATATTCAGAGATAAAAAGTTGTGTAATCGATGATCATTAAGATACTGCAGCTAGCAATGTTGTAGCCAAAGTGGATGAGGTGGTGGGGGGGGGGGGTGAGCTGGGGCATTCCCATAAGTTTTCTTGGCAATATATCTCTTCCTCCTCTCTTCTATACTTTTCTCAACAAGTACATCTCTTCACTCCTCTTCTCAACACGTACATCGATCTCTTCACTCCTCTATGCTTTTCTTAAAAAGTACATCTTTTCCTCCTCTCTTCTACACTTTTCTCAACTCCTCTATAGACTATAGTAGCTCAACACTTGCATCACTTCCCTCTTTATATTCAGTACTAAACAAGTAGTATATCTGAATCAATTTTTTTTAATCGTCGCTCATTGCGATAGCTTTATTAAATGTTGAAATCGCTATTAATCCTTACAAAAAAAGTACAATTGCCGGTAATCAAGATATTTTCTCATTTTATCTCTTCCATAAATTACAAAACTGTCCATACACAGTAGAAATGAATAGATACAAGGCCATGAAAGATAGTTGTCTTATATTGAACATTTACTTTATTTCTCATCGTATACATTATAAAAAGCAATCAGTATCATGTAAACAAATTTACAGATCATAAAAACTAAGGACATGTATTTGCTTCATACGAGATAACAAACTTCCTATTCATTTTCGGAAATGGAGATTTAAATTATGAATATTGTTGATTTCTGGGACTACCCATCTTCCATCATCAAGTATCAACTTTTCCTGCTGACACTATAAAACCTCCTCAGTGCTCAGCTTTCTTATCTCAGCTTTTCTGTCCAATAGGCTTTTTCAGCAAGTTCAGCGTGCTTTTCACCATTGACTGGTACGCGCCGATTCCTCAAAAACTTCTAGAGTTCAGTGGCTGAAAACTGTAAAAACCTACATGCTCCGAGCTGCCATAATTGCAGTGTAGTACCACAAAACAAAGATTAGTTCTTTAGCTCTGGGTACAAGTATCAAATTGGTTACAAACTGCGGCTGAAAGAGCAGTAAATTTGATTAAAAATAGCTTCGACTTCGAGTAGTACTATACAAAACGTGTGACGTTGTATGGCTTCCCGAAAGCCGAGATCGTGTTTGCTCCCTTTTCTATCCCAGAGGCCTTTGCGCGAAGGGCGCCACCCAGCGACAAAGGCTATTTGCGATAAGGCCTATTAGTCAGTAGATGTCTAGGCCCTAACACAATTTATTAGAAGTCTCTGGATGGTTTGCAACTTTGTGTTTCTGCTTTTTATAAGTTTAATCTGGTCAGCCAGGTTTCGATTGCATGGAAAACTAGTACTAAACTAGCTTTGCCCGATTTGAAACGGGCTTCTCTGCTATATTGCAATGATGAATTACTATTAAATTTATGAGAGGTTTTGTTGTCATTGAAAGTGGCATGTTTCCTGTTGCTGATTGTGTTTCATGTTCACTGATTCACAAATAAGCTTTTACTATTTTGTATGTTGTCAATATTAATTATTAACCACTGCATTTTTCATAAAACTGTTGAAATATAAGTTTGCTGACATCGCTTTTTAATGCTTATTAATTACAATAAACGAGTTTTCAATAGAATGTTTTCAATGGAATGCAAACTTGTACTGTAAGACAGTTTTCCCTAGGTAACCATATATGGTAGGAATACTCACTAGGGAGTGGAGAGGGTGCACATGAATTGTTTGTGAATGAATTCACTGACCAGGGTAATACTATCTGTAAAGAGCTTACAAACAGTATTATAGGCACTAGTACAGGTACATGAATCCGGATTATTGTTATTTCCTTACATGCACATGTACATGTACATGAGGGCAATATATTTGCCCTCTGGTGTTTGCTTATTATAGATCAAGGGAGAGGATTACACCATGGTATAGACTATAGACCATGGGTTAGATTCAATAAACCTCTTTTGTTAATTTGACCCATTTTAGACCACTTGGATCAGTTGGATGCGCAAATAAAAACTAAATTTTACAAAAAACAAGCATAATTACTATTCACCACTTGTTAAGTTTGTGTCTACATATACGTACATTTATGTATCAATTAGAACAGAATATTGGATCAGTTATAAATGACGAACTGCATTGTACACTGTACATGTGTTGTGAAAGAATTTCAAGATACGAGTATTTACAAAAATATCTTAATCATAATCTGCAATGATAATCCTAAACTTTATCAAATCAGTGCCAACCCCAAACCTACAATTTATATTTCTAAATGATTGAAATTATGAAATAGGTGTAATTAAAAAAAAGGATACCAATTGAAGTAGAAATTTAAAAAAACTGATGCTCTCAGTTAATGAAGATTGAAGAAAGAATACATGTACTTAAAGGGATCCGGTAACTTTGTCTTAGATCCTTTAGAAATAATCCTTGATTTAGCTCATGCTGCAATGATAATTACAAACCTTTAGGTCAGTCAGGAACTCCATGACTTTTAAAAGCCGATCGCCTGTCTGATTATCAAGATATTAATGATTGGAATTACGAATTTTGAAAACCGTTCACTGAACGGTTTTCATGACACTACAGTCTATTGGGGAAAGCGAGTATGGTAAAACCGGTCACTCAAAGATTTTTACTTTTTTTAGGCACTTCTTGATCATTTTGTTGCGCGTTTTTTTAGGGCTTCAATATTACACCATATTACAGACACTGGTAACATGTAGGACCGTGTATCTCAGATTTAACATTGTTAAACGATCCCTTTAAGTATCGTATGGAATCATAAATGGTCTTACGGGTCTATCTAAATTTGATAGGCTTATAAATGTGCATCATTATGCTGCTGTTGCTGCATATACCAGAGAGAAGCTTTATTTGCAATGTTTAATCACATCAAATTATATTTAAATATCAATATCGATCTTCCAGTTTACAAAGAAAAAAATCTTTATGACAACCAGATTTAATTACAGATAAGCAACGCAACCAACAATATCTAGCTGGGTGGCAGAAAAAGAGCAATGCCGTAGGGCAATGTGTATTGATACCGGCACTCAGTTCTGATTGAATAGCGAGATAACTCCACATCCAATCGCTTCTTTTCACTGATCTCTTTGACTGAATGGTTGGCTTTTTAGTGCCAATATGGTAGATAATTCGGCATAAGTGAAGTTGTAAAGATTTTTATTTCATAAACATGTATTGTCAAATCGGTAAGTTACAAGTGGACATTGTTCCTGTACATGTACATGTACAAACATTTATGATGGTGCGTGCACTGTGCAGCCTGTTTGTACAGATTGAGGGTTTAATAACAATATTCAAGCTTGAAAATGAAAAAAAACAGTTGTTCACTCTTGAGTAATTTGTAACTTTTGATTCTTTACAATGCTTTGTCAATACTCTCA